CTTAGCAGCCCCTCCAAGGCAGCGAGATTATGACAGCGAACCAAAGGTGTCCTTTGAAGGTTTCAACTTCATAGACTTGGTGCTGCAGTAAATTTGAGAAATGGCTTTCGATGTGCTGTCATGGCATTTTTTTCCCCAATGTGCTGCCACGCCTAGAACACCTTTTGCGGTAGAGTTCAGAATTTGCACAGTGTTTCTGATCGCTGAGGCATTGGTTGTGAAACAAAATAAAGATGTTCAGCTCCCTAAATCCAGAGAGAAGTCAGGATTGCATACGCTCCTGCAGCGTTGAAGGGTCAGAATTCATTTTCTTTCAGGGCCAGAGCCATATCATAGAAATGGTGGCCCAGGGTCTCTCCCCAGTGGGACCCGACCAGGAGACAAACTTGCCCTGGCAATGCCTGCCTTCTGCCACATCGCCACAATGCTTCATCTCATCCCCAGCCTCAGAGGGAAACAGGCTTCAGTCATCCTTAGCTTTACTGGTGTTAGTCCTACCTTCCCTCTTCCTCAGACACCATCCAGTGGTAGCCCCAAGGTGGGGAGAACCTGTTAGGCTTTGCCACCTACCAGCTTGGAGGAAAGTCAAGGGCGTGGCAGAGACTGGGAACAGAGGCAGGAGAGGGATCGACCATGGACATTCTACTGGTCTGGATGGGTGGAGAGCCCTTCAGCTGGCAGTGGGCGCAAATATAGAAAAGATTAAGCTGTCGCCCCCAGATTGCATCCTGGTCCTTACTGGAGAACCTTATTCCTGATGATCTGGGTTCTGAAGCCAACTGCCCACTCCAGAATGAGTAAAGAGCTTTGAACCTGGGGGGTGGGAGGGGAAAGCTGTAATTCTCAGGAGAGAGAAGAGAAGTTCTGCCCTGCTATGCTTTGGATGTGGTCTTTAGTGATCAGGAGAACCCCCTGGAGCTACAAAAACATTGTAGAGCTACCAAAATATTAAGGCTGTGCATGCTTCAAAAATGGTTCAGAAGGGAGCTTTGTAGCACAAGTGCAACACCTCTTTTTAAAACAGCCACGCCTCTTAGACTTCCACACAAGCCTGAAAAAAAAGCACAGCAGTTTTAATGAGCCATCTCATTAAAACAGCTGTGTCTTTAATGGCCCGCATCTGCTTTGGGGCTCATTGGAACCTGCTGCTTTAAAGGGGCGAGGCACTTCTCATGCATCTCTTCCAGATCATTTTCAGCCCTAAAAATGCATCATGGAAGTTGGAGGGATGGGTCTGGATTCTGGCCTGGGCAGTAAGATGGGTTGTGATGCTGTCCTCTGTATGTTTAATTCAGACTTTGGGGGCAAGCGGGGCAGATCTACGAGTGACCATTTTGCTTTCCGTCCTTGGCCAGTATGACTTCTCAGCCCCCGTAAGTCCAATCGGTAATTTGGAAAAATGGGCCAGTGAGTCTCTCGTTTGGGGACAGAATAGCACGGAGAGATTAAGGGCCTGTTTCAGACGGAGGAAGGGTTTGCAACCGAGGAAAGCTGTGTTTGTACAAGAGGGGACGCCTCTTCTCGGCTGCATTGAATGATTCTCCAGAGGGTCAACATAGCCAAAACATCAGTCCCCAAGAATCAGTGGGGTGCAGTGGCGAAGGTGCTGGCCGGGGAGCAGGGTTCTAGTCCCCCCCCCGGGCATGGAAGCTTCCTGCCGACCTCGGGCCCTGGGTCCCTCTGCCTCTCAACCCAACCTACCTCACCAGGTGGTGGTGCCGTGAGGCTCGTGCCGCACTTAGAGGTAAGCCCAGAGGAAACGAGACTAATATGGGGAGACTGGCACATGCCTTGCCCAGGTGATGTGTGCTGGGCTGAATAGAAGAGGCCAGAGAGAAGTGGCTAATGCCATCAGCCAGCATAAATCAGGTAGCGCTGGCCCTGGGAACGAGTCGGGGTGATGCGAGAATGAAGGAATTTGCGGCTTGGGCTTGGGCTGCCCCCGATCCCAAGGCGCCCTGCGTTTGGAGCGAGGGGGCTGCTGAGGTGTGGCATTTTCTCCGCTGCTCCCCCCTTCCAGTAAACCAACCTACCAAGCGGGTTTGCTACGAGCTGGGGAACCCCAGCCCCGAAATACAGATTGGGGCTGAAATCCCCCCGTCCCGCTCGTGTCGCTTTGCTCAGGGAACGGTGCCAGGGCCTCCCTTGGTCCCGGGTCAAGTCCTTGTCCCGACCTGGTGTGCCCCTCCCCGCGCTGGCCTCACAGGGAGCCGTCTCCCCAGCCCCCCGGGACGGAGGGACGGAGCCACCAGGAGCCCGTCCGGAGGGTGAGCCGTTCCGCCGCTTCGTCTTCCTTGGAGCCCATTAGCCAGCAGGGCGCCGCTGGGTGTGCTGGGGGAACTGGAGCAACTGGGAACAGACTCGGGCAGAAAAGTCCCTCCCTTCGCTTGTCTTCCTTCCCCAAAGCGTGGTGCCAGGTTTTCAATAAACTTTTTCCTCTTGGCTTTGCTCTCCGTGTCACTCCGTGTCTTTTCCTCCTCCTCCTCTTGCCAAAAATTCTTCTTCCTGTCCTCAGCAGCACCTTTGTTTTCCTCTGCAGACCCCCGCAGGCCCACCCGCAGTTTTGCCCCTTTTCCCGAGTTGGCTCAGGCCGGTCGCTTTAATGCCTTTGAACACCCTGAGCCCGGCTGATTTGGGGGAACCTGGCAGGAAGGCCCCGGGGCCTCCCGCATCTCTCAAGCCAGCAAAGCCCCCCCCCCCAGTGACTCTGCAAAGGCCGCCCTGGCTGCATTCACACCATACACCGAACCTACTTAGGGAACTTGCCCACATCTTGGCATTGCACAATACGGGGAGCCTTATAGTAACCAAGCAGACTCTGTTCCTGCATCGCAACGAGCCACAAACCGTGCCACGCAGCGTAAAGGAATCGCGCTTGGCGTATGGGGTGCCCGTGGCCCCTTATCTTCATCCAAGCTGGTTGAGGCTGTTGTGTGTGAACGCAGCCATCGAGAAGTCCTGGAGCACTTGGTGCTTCCTTCTTCCTTCCAGAGGCTCAACAGCCCGAGGGCAGGGGTCCCTCTCAAGGCCCCACCAGAACCTTGTTTTCACTGGAGACTCGGAGACGGAGCTGCCCCCTCATCTTCCTCAAGACATGTAGACGGCCCAAGGCTTTCCCTGCTTTCTCCGTTTCCCTCTGGTGGTTTTGGGAACTCCCGGGGGAAGACCCTTGCCAGCCCCCCCACTTGGCTGCTGCTCATCGAGGAAGCGACGGCGGTACGTCAGGCGCAGAAAGCTAAGCAGGATCAGGCCCAGTCAGCCCTCGAAGAGAGACAGACAGAAGTCGCAGCCGTGCGGATCTCTTTTAAGCAGAAGGAAAAACTTCTTCATCGTAAAAACTGTCTGGCAGGGAAACAACCTGCCTACCAAGGTGGTGGGTCCTCCATCTGTGGAGGCGTACAAGAAGAGCCACCTCCCAAGGATGATTTCCTGGGTTTTCCTGCACATTGCAGAGGGTTGGGCGAGATGACCTTTGGGGTCCCTTCCAACTGTGCAGTTCTAGGATTCCATGGCCCCCCAAAATCTCAGGGCTGTGGGCTTGACTGCCAGGTCCAAAGAACCACCATCCCCAGACAAGACCCATGGGATATAATTCAAAGGTCCTGGACAGGTTGTGAAGATTGTCTCCATGAAGCCCACGCAGCCCTTAAAAAACAGAAACCAGGGTCAGGATATTGATCTTGGGCACCTGGCTTGGGGTTGGCAACAGCCAGAGAATAACCTCCCCCTTCCTTCTCATCTTGGGCACTCTAGGTGGGTGGGACTTCAGCTCCCACAAGCCCTAGCTATCCAGCCAAATGATGTGCAAAGTTCAAAGGTCACTGGTCAGGCGAGATGGACCAGTGGTTGCAGCCCCGCAGCTTCGTGGGCAGGACCTGGCTTGACTCTGGGTTCCTACCAGGGCTTTAGAAAGACCTGGGGCTCGGGGCGTGTGAGCACTGCGCCTCTCAGCGCAGCGGCTTTTCTTCGGCATCGGTGCAAGCCCAAAAGAAAAATGCTGCTGCTTTAAGGGAGATAAAGGAGGTCTCGAAGCAGGTCTTCAGCCAGGTCAAAGAGGGCCAGGCAGCTTGAAGGCAGAGCCGGGCGGTGCTGCAAAAGGGTTCTTCTGGGTCCACTTTGGAGCGTGTCCAGCCCGGGCTCTGTGCTGCGCTCCTCTGCCTCGCTGTGGCCAGAGGGTGGGGTGGTGTCAGCGGGAAGGGGCAAGATGCGCTTGGCAACAGCGGGTGGGCTGCCTTCAGAAGACCTGCGGGTTACAGCACGGGCAGCAGGAGATGGGGCTTCCCCTCCCACCAGGCGGGTGGAAGATTGGCTTGTTAAGGGGCACCTTGGCTCAAGCTGGGACCTGCCACCCCCCTGCTTGGATGCCCCAGCTGAAGGCTTCTGAAATTCCTGATGGAGGCGGCTTTCCGGTCTGGTTGCCGGCAGCCAAGGCCGAGGGGAGGAGAATGTGGCAAGCGGTTGCATCGGCCACAGTGCAGAAGAGCTCTTGGGTCCACACCGGGACCCCTCGCTTGGAGACCCACCTCCGTCAGGAACGCGTGAGGACCATGGCTGGGTTTCACGGCACGTGACTGCCCAACTCTATTCTAACTTAGTCTGCTATGTTGTATGAACCCAGACAAAGTGTGAAACAGAGAAGCAGGTGGCTGTCGCACCCCAATAAAGACCCGAAAGCTATACATCTATGTGCTAAGCTTGGCTAGGGTTAACATCATGCTGGCTGGGGAATTCTGGGAGTTGAAGTCCACTCGTCTTAAAGCGGCCAAGTTTGGACAACACTGCTTTATGCAGTTTAGTTGGGCAGAATTGGCTAGTTCAATGACGAGGTGGTGTGTGTGTTGGTCCCGTGCTCCCTGGCCCAGTGGAGCCTCGGATCAAGCCTGACTTAGACCCTAGCCTCCACGGAGGAAACTCCACCGGCCTTCCTACCCTGGTTCTGAAACTGGCATCCGTGTGTTCCTTTCTAGCGTATCCTTGACTTCTCTGTCGTCTGTTTCCAGAAACTCCATCCAGACTCAGCCATCCTATGGGTCGAGTTCTCCTCCGCTCGGGAAGATCAGCGGCATGAACAAGCTGCCCTCAGTCAGTCAACTCATCAACCCTCAGCAGCGCAACACCTTGACACCCACCAGCATTCCTGACAGCATGGGAGCCAACAGTAAGGCATATTTTCCTTCCCAACTCTCTCCTTCTAGTCTGCAAATCAACAGTTACGAATGGAGACCCAGTTTTTACAAAATAGCCCACCCACCACAGTTGGAAGCAAGGTTGTTGCATGGATTACACGGGCCTTTTCCAATCTTAGTACTGTGGAGTTCAAATCCCAGGATTTTCACACTTCCCTGTTGAGGAAAACAGGGGAGAGGGTGCCAGGTGGATTCTTAAATACAGCCAGGGCATAGTGGTGAGGTTTGAGATCACATCCCCAAACCTTTTGGCAAATTGGTGGTTTTGGGGAGGCAAATTAAACCTTAAAATTGGACTGCGAAGCATTTGGTACGTGCATCTATTCTGACTTAGTAATTCTTCCACAAACAAACAGATTTTGGAAGGCCACCTGCAACCTTAACATTTTTGGAAATCTGGAGTCTAAATGATACAAACATTAGAGGGTTTTTTTCACTCTTCTTGAGGTCTGGCTCCAGGCATAAAATAATGTACAGTATTGTTATTTTTCAGAGTGGGTTTTGGGTTGTCTTGATAGTTGGCACTGCATGTGTGGGGGGGCTCGTGTGTTTGTGTATCCTGTGCAAAGCTACAGAATGTGTTTCTGGAAGACTTTAAGGAATCACACAAAATCAGACACAATCTTCTGTGACATCAGACTTGCATTGTTTCTCAAACTTGGCAACTTTAAGATGTGCGGACGTCAACTCCCAGAATCCCCCAGCCAGCATGCTTAAAGTTGCCAAGTTTGAGAAACACCACACTACAGCATTGTTAGGATCCAATCCAGTTGAATGCAAGAATTCAACAAACAGTTTGACTTTTTAAAAGCGTAATTTGTTCTAGTTGCTTTAGTCTGGCTGGCCTGGTCGGGCGCATTTTATATGTCTTAAATGTTTTGCTGCTTTTTCTGGATTTGGTGAGCTGCCCAGGATCTTCTGGAGTGGGTGGCTATATCAAATCAGATAAATTAAACTGAGCGAGAGTTGCCGAACTCATACAACGGAAGGTTTCAGACTTTCAGTAAAATTTGGGACTTGGCAAAAGTGCCACCAGACTCCTAGTTTTTGGGTGCAGGAGACCAACACAGCTGTCCTCCTACAAAGATACCTCAGAAGGTCTCTTAGTGGATTCTTAAAACTGTTGGGTAATAAGATTAAGAGAAGACAAGAAATATAAATATCAACCTTTATATCTAT